AACAACAAAAATGCCAGCATCATCACCATTATATTTATATGATAGAAGTCAACAATTACAACGACAAGGTTCGTCAACACAAACATCATTAAAAGGCTCAACAAATTCAAATACAAGTGTACCATTTGGAAAAATGTCTTGGATGAATATTGTTTTATTACTACATTCATTATTATTTTTTCTGTCATCAAGTATAACATCATTGGTTTTTTTTTCAACATCAAATCTTATATTAGCACATTGGGTTAGTGTTATTATATTAGCAAATTGTTCATTAAATTTTTATGTTTATTGTCTAAGTGGAAGACAATTTCGTAAAGAATTAAAACGTATTGCTAAACGTTATGTAAGACATATTCATAAAGCAATTATACGAAATCATTATTCGCATGATCGTCGTCGATCACCAATACAAAATGGACAAAATAATACTAATCAACCAAATTATCAAGTCAAACAACGAAATCATATTGGTACACAATGTATGAGATCTTATCCTATAAAACAAGTCATGAAACAGAAAGAATAATCATTTATTATATTGCATATATTTTAAATAAATCATGCACAATATTTCATGACACCGACTCTTAAAATCATATTTTCTTGTTTCCTTTGATGTCACTAACACTAATTAGCCATTTAGATTTAATATCAAGTTTAAAAATTTAACGAAAGATGCAATCTATATTAAAACAAAGGTTTATTCTTTATTTATGTATGTTTCTTTATTAATTAATGTATTCATCGTTGTCAAAATAAGATTTGTGTGATGTAATTTCCGTAAGAAACATAACTAATCGATAGTTTGTATGACAAATATTTCTCTGGAGAATAATAATATAATTTAGAATGTTGAGAAAAATAAACCGAAGACTATCCTTAATCCTTTGGTGACAGGTGTGGTATTTATATCACTTCAAGTATTTTGCAAAATTCATGGATGGTATATATACCAAATCAATCAAAAGTAAATGGAAATAGTCTGCATAATTGATTATGTATAATCAATTGTTTTAAAGCTTATCATACCCTAAAACATTTTTGATAATGATTTTTGATTGAATAAGCATTTATTATCATTTATATAAAAAATTTTATTTTTTCAAAAAAACTCGACACCAAAGGGTTAACAACAAAAAACTAGTCTAATAGATAAATATACATATTCATACAAAAATAGATAATCGAGTATAAATAAACAACTGTAACTCAATCTATTTTGATAGAATTTATAACTGTAACCTTCGCTATTATATTTAACTTTGGATAGTTAATAGAAAACAAAACCAAAAGAAATTTTTTATATTAATTATGACTGTAAATTCTTTGATGATGAATAGTTTCCAGATAGTCTGAAGTCGAAAAAACTCATATAAATAAATCGAATCATCTTAGCTATGATCATAATAACAACAATAAAGAAAAAGACAAACTACTTCCGAATGTATTGATAACATTGATTAGAAATAAGTCTTATTTTCTTGTCAATGACAAACAAAATAGAAAAAGACATGCATGCATACAAGATTAGAGTTAACATTAACTAAACATGCATTTATTTTGTCATTATTTTCCATGTTAATAATTGTGTAAAACATTTCTTTACTATGAATGACTATCTTTATTGTTTCATGGACATGATTCTGATGCTTATCTATGAATGTATAATTTTCGATAGTTTGGATTGAATTATTGTAATTCATTTTTGTTTATTTTCTATTTTTTTTTATTTTTTATTTTTTCGTATCATCAATTCTCTTATGATTCCTTTTTTATTGTTGTCTTATAGAAATATACCAAAATAAATTATAATAACTTCTTATAAATAATAGAAAATAACTAGTGAAAGAAATATATTTTTCAAGTTTACTACTGATAAAATATATAATAATAATCAATGATTACAAGTCAAGCGTGATTTTATTGTATGAATTACACTTGACTAACCCATAGGTCTTTGCCTATCTTAAATAGACTCAACGACATGCATGTTTTTTATCTCAGATAAAACGTGCCAGGATGTGTGAGATTAATGAATTCAATATCATGTATATAGATCAAGAGAACTAAATATAAACGAATAGAGAATATGTTTACCATTATGGTAAAAAGGAGAAAAACACAAAATATAATATAAGTCAAGCGAGAACTTTGTAATCAGTAAAACAAAGTAATAATTTATCTTTATGCTTCCGAAAAGTCAAGGTTTTGCGTTTTTTGTTTTTTACTTAAACAACTATAAATAGAAATAGATGAATAAAATAAAATATAGTATTGACGTCGATATAACTAAACTAACACATAATTGTAGATGCTCTAATGAACTTTCATTTCAACTGTGATTTTTTTAATGTAAAACTTCATAATAATTTGTTCAAGAAATAAATTATTTTTCAACTTAAGTAAAACTTGATAATTTCATTAAGTCTTCATTCGTTAGTGTTATATTTATCTATTAAAGAAGTCAAAAAGGTGAGAATACATAGAAAATTATTCTAAATATCTTTGTAAACTATCTACGCGTTTCGAATATATTTTCTAACTCTAATATTTTTACAATAAGATAATATGACAAATATGAATAGTGGAATTAGCAGTATGTCAGGATATATTTTTTTTGAAAGGTTTCCAAGTATTAATCGTGACATATACTCTTTGGCATCATTGTGATCAAGCTGATTCATGTCATAAAAGATTGAAATATTCACTTTAGAGATTTTTTTAAAACTATTTTGAATTCATATGGGAAATTTATCTAAATATTCATTGAATACTTTGAGGACTTAAATAGTCTTGTTTTATCATAGATACGACTACCAAATGAGAAACTGGTAATATTGTAATATACCCTTAATTATTGTAGCTATGTTATTATCGATTTTGACATTATTATTCACCATAAATCCTTTTCCCGAACAATAACGCTTTATTATACCTTGCATAGATTGCTATTATTTGTGATTGTATTCATGCTAATTATGTCAAAAAAAGTGAGATCAAAAACACGTATAATTTTCATCAGACTAGATTGTATCGGAAACATAGTTTTTTCTTATTTTTTTAAACCTTCTGAGATTATATCTTGTTTTTATGCGCTACTATTGTAAATTTGTTGAGTTATTCGTCTTTTGCTTTTTGGTGTAATTGCTACGAGTCTCTAATGTTTTTGCTATCAGAAATGAAAAACTAAATCTCTGCAGATTATGTCTAAATTTTGACAAATCTCTGAAGATAGAATTCTAAGCTATTATCTCATTGTTTATTCAAAAATAAACAAATAGAAAATTTGGAGAATTTTTATTAAGATGTTGATGCTTTGTTGATTTTTGGCTACAATATTTAAAATAAAGCAGTGCCATCTAGTGAACATATTAATATAACGTATCCTAATCTCAGATGGAAGAAGTATACAATATTTATGCTTATTCATCTAAACAATCTATTTATCCTAACGAAAAACTTTGTCAATTGTACTGGTTATATATATTACACAGATCTAGGCATGTGTCGTGTTGACGTAAATATGGAAATATTGAGTGTCAGCCACTGACGTAGAGTCCATGGAGACACTGATTATAGTGGCATCGGTATTCACTGAAGAACTAATTACAATGACATACACGTTTGCTGCAAACACTAAAGAGGGAACCACCCGAGGTGACACCCTCCGTTTTGACTCATTTATATTTCATTCGATAGAGTATATTGAAATAGTCAAAGGACAAAGAGGATTTTCCCCCATGGCTCTTCCTTCAACAGTTATGATAATTTTATTGAATTTTCGACCCACTCCCGGATATTTACGAAAAAAGTCAAAATAGGGAATTTCGACTTGATATTTCGCCCATAGATAGACCTAATGATTCTTAGAATATTCTGAAAGTTTCCGCTAAAAATAATGTTCCTTTCTTGAGATATTGAATTTTCAAAAAATAGTCGCCTGCCACAGATTGGTCACAAAAACCGAGTTCGCTTGAAAATTCAATATTTCAAGAAAGGAACATTCTTTTTAGCGAAAACTTTCAGGATATTCTAAGAACCATTAGGCCTATCTATGGGCAAAATATCAAGTCGAAATTCCCTATTTTGATTTTTTTCGTAAATATCCGGGAGTGGGTCGAAAATTCAATAAAACGACCATAACTTTTGAAGGAAGAGCTATGGAGGAAAATCATCTCAATCCTTTGACTACCTCAATATGCTCTATCGAATGAAATATAAATAAGTCAAAACAGAAGGTATCATCTCGGGTGGTTCCCTCGTAAGCATAAACTCTATCAGAATATGCCCTTTTTTCGTAGTAATGTGTTCCAGTGTCTTCAGTGAAAACTGGTCCCAGTGTCGACTAATTCTATTGAGTCAGTAACACCGGTAATCAGCAAACTGAAAATGTATATTTCTACACGGATCGTTATTTTCTATTGTTTCACAGAAAAAAAAAGAAGTGAACTGAAAAGAAAGACAAATAAATCTAAAGCAAGAAAATTGACTTGAATTAAAAATGAGAAAAAAGACATTGACAAGAGTCAATAATTTGAAGAAAGATAAATTTTGATGTTTGTTGTTTCATCTAAACCAATATTCTCATCTCATGGCACTTTATCAAGACACAACATAAATTATTAATATTTTAAATTCACAATTTCTGAATTCTTTTTTTTTGTTTTAATGGAAAATAGTAAACGAAAAGATATATTCGTAGTGAATGGTTTAAAAAACTTTTATTATTTTTTTGTAATTCACTTGAATATCTTTGGTTCATATTTATCAAATATTTAAAGTATTTTTCCTAACTTTCTTTTCCATGGTGTATATTCAATAAATAAATGGGTCTGTTTGCACTCAAACAAAAGATTATCATCACATCATTATTCTTTCATTTCAACTATTATACAATTACCATATGGATGATCTCCAAAGCAAACGAATAACCTTTCTATCATAATAGATAAATAAATAATACTTTTCCATATGGAACATTCATGAATATGTATGCCATGCGAAGTCTTCGTTCTTATCGTTTTCTTGTGATATTATGTTTTACTGTCGGAATTAGTATCCTTATTTATCGTCTACGTTCAATAAGCAGAATAAAAACTGTAGAATCATTAAATATTTTATCAAATAAAATCGATGAACGTCTACATTTACTTTATCGACATTTTGGTCACGTTAACATATCAATGTTACTCGATAGACCATCTTCAAATAAATCACCATCGATAACTTATTTATGTCGAGAATGGTGTGGTGGATGTAAGTATATGAAAACCATAGATTCTATTGCAATCGAGATAGATAATATTTTTTAGTTTTAAGGGGGCGATCGACTTCGTGGTATTACATCGACATTTATCTTAGCCATACTTAGTAGACGACGATTTTATATAGATATGCCTTATCCATGTGAATTAACAAAATTTCTAAAACCAAATCTATATGATTGGCGACCGATTGAACCTGAGTAAAATCATTAATTACATTTAAAAATATAAGAAATTATGTTTGTTTTTCTAATAGATCACATCGTAAGCACTTATATGTAGAAACTACACGAAATAATCAATTAGCACGAATACTTTATGAAAAAATTTCTTCGACAAATTTTATAAACGATTGGTCTCAATATGAGGATATTTATATAACAACAAACAGTGATTATATAACACCCGTATTAGCTAATGAACATCTACAAAATTTAGTTAGTTTATTAAATTTTTCATCTTACGAATCTTCACAAGCTCGTTTATTTCCACTTATTTATGAACTTCTTTTTCTACCAACAAATCAAGTTATGAATTTAGTTGATCAATTATTAATTAAATTAAATGATGAAAAAAATTTAAAAAAACAACTTATTTGTTTACATATACGTATTGGAAGAAATCCAACAATGGCTACTGATAAAAAACTTATTTATCGTGATACAATGGTTGAAGATATTCTTCAATTTGTCGATAAAAATTTAACAATAAAGAGAAATTCAATGATTTTTATAACAAGTGATTCCATGGATATAAATCAATATATTCTTGATAAATATAATACAAGTCAATCAATGACTATTCCGGGTCCAATAATTCATATAGATCGTTTATCTCCATCGTATTCATCAAATGAACAATGTCAAGGTTTTCTTAAAGTTATTTCAGATTTTTATGTTCTTGGAGAATGTGATACATTAATTATGGCTCGAAGTGGTTTTAGTGAATGGGCAAGTCGACGACGTTATTTAATAAATCAATTTAATCAACTCTATTTATATTGTCGAGGTATTCATCAAGTAACTGGACATCAATGGAAACGACCATATATGATATGTTAAAATACATATAACTTTTCTTTTTTTTTTTTTTTAATTTTTATTTAACAACCTTGAATAAAATACAAAATATTCGAGATCTTAATATATAACAAAAAAAAGGTTTTTGAGATTGCACTTTATGCAACAATAACATAAGTTGCTGCTGTAGCTACACCACAATTGTTATTCTTACGAGACATAAGTACATAACCATCATTACCCCAATATGTTGACCAAGAATTTTTTACAAGCCAATAATCTTCACCATTTAATGTACCATAACCAACTGCTAATACTGCATGATCTAAATCTTCAGGTGTATTACCTAATAATAAATAAATTATTCAAATATTCAAAAAAAAACAAACAAATAACTTATACCACATTCAGGTTCATAATAGACTAAAAATTGAACGAAAAAAAGAACAAATATAATAATAGATTGTAAAAAAATGAATTCTTACCTCCACTAGCATAAAATACAAAACTTTTATGAGCAGCATCAATACCTATAGAATGCAATTAAATCTTTAAATAACTATAAAATAGGTGATTAAAAAATTTCTAGACAAGATTCATGTTCACTTCTGGTTTGTTTGAAAGTATTTTTGACGAGTCAAAAAGGACAGAAGTTGACTATGGACTGAGAAATATTGTGTGTATTTTTTTTTCAATAGTAATGAGAAACTTTTTGAAAGATTTGAAAAAGTATTTTTTCTAGTGAGCTAATGCATTTTTCTCGAAGGTTCATGTCGAACATGTTAAAAATGGTCGAAGTTGATGGTTTTGTAAAGCGATCGCTTCTCTACAAAATGAGATATTCAACTATGTCACAGTGCTTACCTGAGTGAGGCTACAAGCGTTTTTCTAAAGAGATTCTTTCAACGTACAACAATTGTCGACTTTTCAAAATTTTTCGTTCAAACTAAGTTTTTAGGCTTTTCAAAGACTATTTTCACTACTCCGAAACAAAATTTCTTTGTCCCTATTCGAAAAGAGCACAAACTCAAAGCTTTTAACTCGTCGGAAATATTTTCTAGCAAATCAAAATTGAACAAATATCTTATCTAAATAGCTTTCTAATAATTCGTTATTATGATATTCTTACCAACAGAAATTGGACCTTTTTTGGCAATAGCAATCTTTAATGCTTCTGTATCATTTTCAGTTACATTAACATAACCAAGAATTTTAGCACCTTTTGTTACCATGTCATGATGACAAAAACTATCTTCTTGTAAATATGGACCATAAGTATCTTCAAGAGCTATTCCATCATGTTTCATAATATATTGATATGAACGATAATCTTCACCACCGTCACAACCATTATTACCAAAACCCCATGAACAATCAATTAAATCTATTAATTAAAAAATAAATTATTTTATTTATCTTTAAATATATTTAAAACAACCTTGCTCAGATAAACGAATGGATGATCCATGCTAACAAAAAAAAATATATATATCAAATTAAAATTAATATTTCTAATTTTACTTTAACAAAATAAGCACCTTCAATAACACCTGTTGTGCCAAATGACCAACATGAACCACAAATACCTTGATCTTTAACTGGTGTAACAGCACCCATAATACGCCAATCAATTGAATGTGGAATAGCTCGATTATCCTTTGTTAATTCTTCTATTGGAAAACGAAGACCACCATTATAACCTTTTGTATGACGACGACCTCGTATTACTCGTAATTCATCATCCTTATTTAGAAAGAAAAAAACAATCAAAACAAACAACTATTGAGCAAAATTTTCAATCATCAATTATTTAGACTTACAGTTCGATCAGCAAATTTATTTAATTTCATTTTATATGTAAGTCCAGCACGATTACGTGTATTTACATAACGATTATTATGTCGAAAAATTTTTAATCGATGGCGATGTTCAATTTCATCTTTATATTTATATCCATGTTTTTTCTTATATTTATCAAATGATGTTAGAAGATCATCTTCACCATGATGATTTATATATTCACTCATTGGATTAAATAAAACATGTGAAGATATATCAGAATCTGGAAATTCAATACATTCCATTTCTATCAACAGCAAAAAAAACCAATCGTGAATTCTTATTAAAAATGATGAAAAATATTTAAAAAAAAAAAAAAGAAACAAATTACCATCAGGAATATGAAATAAATTTGCATCAATTGGTTCTTCATCATAATTATAATAATCAATTGTATATTTATCAAAATGAGATCCAATTAATGTATCATAACCAAACATTTCATAATGAACTGGATGTTTTGTTTCAGCATTTATATAATAAGTATATGTAGATCTTTTATCACCTTCTTGATCAATATTTTGATACATTTGACATTTTATTCCACGCCATTCAGCTGGACCTAAATCCTTAAAACAAAAAAAAAAAAGAAGAATTTCAATAATATAATAAGACAATAGATGAATTAAACACTTCAAATGAATTTATATCTGGTATACTATGTTGTATATCGGCTAATTCTTCTTTTGAACCATTAGATTGAAAACAAGTTATTTTATTTAATACTTGTTCATCTATAAAGAAATTATTAGAATAGAAATTTCATTTATTTAACTTTTATTTACTAGATATTGGTACAATTTTGTAATTAGCTCCAAAATCTTTATCACTTGTACCTTTTCGTTGAACAGTCTTTGCTGCACCTATAGTTTCGTTTATAATAATAATTAAACAAATAAAAATAACATAAAACAAAACTCACCGCCATAATAATCAATACGTGAATAACCTAATTCAACATCAATCCATGATTCAAATGGTTCATTTATTTCGGCATAAGGTAATTGAATAACACCACTAACATGATATCTTAATGGAAGACCATTTTGTAAAAGATCTCCATTGATGAGTTCAATTATCGATAATACTAGATCAATAGACAAATTTTCAGAATTTTGATGAAATTTTTTAAATAAAACTTACATAGCGTAATTAATATAAACAATTTAAGAATATTTTTCATCTAGAAAAGAAGACACATGAAATTATTTTTATATACTGTATTTGAAGACTTTCTCAACTAATTGAATCCTCGTCAGATGAACGTCAGAAACCAATCTGTTATCTGAATATTATAAAGAATTGTCAAGCAATTAAATCCTATCTTGCTTAATTATAGTCTCATTTTGATAAGTTTTTCATATTAAATAGGGATGTCTGTGGTTGCTGTAAATACTAACGGTGATTTCACAGACAGCAAATCCACTAGATCAATTTTCATTGATTATAATTCAAGGTGAAGATGATGATAATTTATATTTTCTTAGTTACTTTATTTTTTTTTTTGAAATAGACACTGCACGACAAAGAAAAAAACATTCAATAGGAATACACAACAAATGTAAAGAAGAAAAATATTTAACGTTTTGATGATTTATGATGATGACGATGTCGATCAGGAGATGGGTGTTTTTCTCGACTTTCATATCGTCGATCTCGTTGTTGTCGTTCACCTTTGCCATTGTTATCATGTCCATGACGCTCTTCACGATGATTACGAGATGATGATGATGAACGCGGTGGTGGTGGTGGTGGTGGTGATCGAGAAGCTGAAGATGATGATCTTGATGATGTTGATGAAGATGATGATGTAGATGTTGAACCTATATATTAATTTCAAAAATGATTAATATATTTCAAATCATAATCATGTGTGAAATAATAGATATTGATAAGTTGTTATTATTATATAAACAATCGACATCTACGGAACTTAATATTTCAAAGTAGATAATAAATTCACAAGGATGAATTTCTAACTATCGACAATTAGGAGCTATGCCGAAAAATAAAATTAACAAAGAAGATTCTTTTTATCATTATGAAGCCATAAAATTAGAGAGGTTCAGAAAATAACTAACAATCTATTCAGGATCAAGAAATATAAGTGTAAATACGAATGTTTAATGAAAACTTCTAATTGAACCCTTACATGAGAGAAAATAACTACTTAAAAAGTTTCCCATGCTCGTTTATAGTATTGACCTGTTTTAAAGTTTCTGTCTGTTGCGATTGTTTCCATTCGACAATAAGCATAGTTTTCGTCTTTTCGTAACGTTTTGATAAATTCAAAAGCTCAATGTCAGCATTCAATCACTATTTACCCACGAAATCATCTATGAACCTCTTTCATGAGATAAATCTTCACTCTTCATATGCAACTCGGTTCTAACGAAATGCTGTATGTGATGAAATTACATATCTGCAAATTGAGATTGATAGGAAATGAAATAGGAATCACGCTTCTGTTAAACATGCATAAATCTATCTCCGATTAATACATGATTAGTATAACTGGAAGAAGCTATGCACAAGAAAGCTAAATATGACCGATCTGGTCGAATGATAACAATTATGAAGCAATGTGTGACTGCTTGTCACATGTAAACGTCATTTCTTGGTTTCCTTAACTTCAGATTTTCTGAAAAATTTTACATAAAACTAAAGATTTATTAAAACTTAATCATACGTTTAGTTTTCTTCTTCTTCTTCTTCTTTATATTTTTATCTTCTTGCTGTTTTTTTGCTTTTTGTTGTTCTAGTTGAAGTTCATGAGCACGAGATTGAATACGATCATAATCTTTATGATCATCTTCGTCATCTTTTGTTTCAGTTTTAATAGGCATTGCTGTTTGTACAGGTGGAGCTGGTATTGGATTTGTTCTTAAAAATTCTCGTAATTCATCTCTATATGAAGCAAAAGAAAAAAATAATATTTAATTAACATGAATAAAACACTTACGTTAATCCACCAAGACCAATTGATGTAAAAAAATTTATTGAAAATCGAGTGTTTTTTGGATTATCACGAGGAAGCAGACCTTCAAAATATTCTGCTAATGTTCTACAATAATTATAAAAAAAAAAAAAGATCAACAAATAGATCATTATTTTTTTTCATAACATACGGATCTGTTAAACGATTATTGAGTTTAGTTAAACCAAGAAATTCAGATAATTCTAAAAATAAATTTTTTATATAAACACGTGATGATGATGTTGTATCTTCTTCAGTTAAACGAATGCAACGAAGTACCTAAAAAGAAAAAAAAATGTATTATTTTTTATTAAAAGATAAAACAAATAACATACACCCCATGAAATGGCATCTGTAACAAGTAAATGTGCAAAAAATTTTGCAACATTTCTTAATTTAACATTTTCAAGACGATGAACGATTTCATATTGATCTTGAAAAACTTTTTCAAAACATTCAATATATTCCTTTTTTAATAAACAAAAACGTTGAGCAAGTAAACCAAAAAAACGTTCATATGTTCGTTGTTGTGCACAACTATCAAGAATCATTTGGCATAATTCCATCTAATAAATAGATAAAATTAAATTAATTGAATATTTTCAAACAAAAAAAAAAAAAAACATACTTCTTGTCCAGGACGTAAATTCATTTTAAGTAATTTATGCGCACATTCTTCAGCACCAATACTTGATTGAATTGTTAAATATATTGTACGACGAAGTGTTACTAAATTTGTTTCAGTTTGATCAATAATTGTTTCTTGTTTCTCTTCTATAAGAAAATAAATAAATAAAAAGAAAATTACAAATTTACAGAATATTCATTTTGCATGATTTGAACAGGAAAAAAAGAATACCGTTACACATAATATTCTTGCGCTCAATCGTTTGAGCTTCCTGTACATACTAACTACGCGGGCAGCTGCATAACATAAAATAGTCAGCATGCTAACGGACGAATGATGCGAGACAAATGGCCATTAGTGACTTGTGAAAGTCATTTCATGGCTGGTAGTACTGAGATTTTTTTACAATTGAAAGAACATGGATCTCAAACAATGTAAAATTAGACGAAACTGATTGTTCATTGACATTACGAAATCTCAAGGAAAATAATCTAATCTTGATTACTATCTTTAGAAGAATATCGACTTAAGCATTAAGTGAATATTTAACAATAATCGCTCATTAGCTGAAGTAAATGTTACAAAATCTGAAAGCGACTATATTATTTTTAAAAAAACAATAAAATGTTGGAAATTTGAACAATGAGATTTTATAGGCACACTGTGGAAAGTTAACAAATGTTGTTTTTGGACAATTCAGTAAAATCTTCCTTCTGTAAGATTATTATAAAAATGAACTCAATGTGACGGCTCATTGTCTGTCAAACTGCTCGGCATAATCTCATGGAAACATACCAGCAATGCAGTGCATATACTTCATTGAACAGTCCAAACAAAAGTCTTCATGAATATACATAAGCATGAAATTCTCGAAGTCACACATTCCTTTTAACTTCATACTTTAGGAATATAGACAGAAATTCTAGGCTAGAACAATACCTCAAAGAATTCAGATCTATAGACTTTGTTTACAGAGTTACGACAATTAAATGGGTTCTATATTCTTAAGTGTTTTAGTCAAACACTTATTGCTATCTTGAAATATTCTACGTAAAAAAAATCTTCTGATTTCGTTAGTTATTTCTGAAATCTAATTGTTTTTTTGAACTTAAAATATTCCAAAAAGGAATTAAGCTTTTAGAATTTTCTTAGGTTCATTAGATTTATCGATAAAATTTCAATTCAAATATCCAGCAAAGCTTCAAAAGAGAAAATCTATGCACTCAAATCTTTTTGATTTTGTTTAATTCTAGAAGATTTCTCTATACGCCTGAAGTATGAACTTATAAGTCATGACTCACTTTAATTAGTTCCCTTTTTTAGTGAATGATATAATTTCGTAACTATTTGAGTTGTCCTAAATAAAAGTCATTTCTACTTACTTGCAACTTGACCACCTTCCTGTTCTTCTTCATCAACATCATCTTTTTTTCCATCATTTTCTTCATCACTATCAGATGAACCAGAACTTGATGCATCGTCATCATCACTACTTTCATCAAGAATTGTTTTTCGAATTTCTTTATATTTTCTTTCATTTTCTTCATATTCTGGATCATGTTTAAATACATCTAAATCAAAAACAAAATAAAATAAAATATTTCATTCAACATATGTATCATTACCAAGCATTGGTTCAGGTTCACATGGATCCTCCAATGTAAGCATATGTGTATATTGATCATTTTCATCAACTAAATCAAGACCTGGTGGAATAGCTGGATTAGCTTTAAATTGATCTTTTCGTACAGCAAATAAAACTTCAATCATATATTGTGTACGTTTATCTAATGATGATTCATGAAGTAAATTTCTTAATGTTGAAAATACTGAATCTAATCCACGTGGACTAACTTGTAATAATTTTTGTCCACATTCTTTTAAAAATCCAATAGCTAATTCAACACTATCATCAGATGGATTTTCAAGTAAAAGTACAAGTATTTGTAATGCAACTATTTCATGTAACTAAATAAAAAAGAAAACAAATAAGTAGAATTCTTTAGTTGTTTTTTTGTTTTGAAGATTACATACAATATTTTGATTAACAAGATGTGCAATAAATTTTGTTGCAGCTAAACAATTACTTTTATCATTTCGTTGATATGTTCGACGAAATGATGATATAAGACGTTTAGCAATTAATTCACCAATTTGTGGAAATTTCGTATTAAGAACAGAAACTAATGCAGCATAAACCGATGTATAAAATGGTGATGCTAATTGTGCTTGAATAATACCACGAGCTAGTAGACCACGACCACGAACAATATTATCTTTAAATAATTCACGAATGATTAATGCTAAATTTGATGTATTAACTTTATTGACTCGACCATTAATAGTTTTTTTTAAAGCCTCCCAAGCTATACGTTGATATTCAGGTGTTGATTTATCAGTTAATGATGCCTAAGAGAAAAAATATAAATTCATGTTGATGATTTGAAAGAATTTTACTTGTAAGAGGCGAAGTTTAGCTGGTGGCATATAAAGACCTCCAGTACGTGGTGGTGCAGCAGGTGTTGTTTGTTTTGGAGGAGCATTTGAAGTTGTTTTTGATCGTACTTCACCTTCTTCTTCATCATCGTTCTTTCGTTTGTCTTCATGTTCATCATCATAATCATCATCGTCATCATTTGATTCTGATGATGGAGTTGGCGTTCGACGATACCGTTTAGATGACTTTTCATAACGAGGTGAATTTGATGATGAACGACGACGTGATGATGTCGTCGGACCAGAAACTCTAGTCACCTCTGATTTCAACATTTTTGTATATTAGAAAATTGAATGTGAAAATCAAATGTATTGTGAACAAACGTAATTTCAATTTTTTTTGTCTCTTGTTACATGTGCAACCAATCAGAAGAAACGGAGAACTGACACAGATATAGTTGTCGTTAGTTATCAATGGTACTATATTATATTAAAAGAAATGAATCGATATGTTACATATGAGAGAATTGTTTTCAAGTGATAATCGTTTTTAAGTTCATACTCTATGCATGAGATAGATTTGAGGGACGGTTTTTCTACCTGAAATTTCATCCATGGACAAATTTACCAATGACTGGGGTGCTCTAAAAAATTTAACTCAAAAGAATGTTTTTTTTTCGCAAGACATTGAATTTTCAAAATCCACTCACATTAGACAAAATGTTCCAGAATCTCAGATTAGTCAAAAATTCAACATCTCACGTAGAAAGCGTTCTTTTATGTAAATATTTTCAGGACACTCTAGGCACAAATAAATCTGTCTATGAGTGAAATTTCAGATAGAAACAAAGTCATTCTTTTTGTTCGTACATACCATGCCATATTCTAAAATTCCAGTCAAATAACTATAACTCTGTAGTGGTGATTTAAGGACCTTTATCCTTTTGAAACTTTTCATAACTCACTCAAGTCTACCTTATGCATAGCGTACGAACTTAAAAACGATTTATTAATTGAAATGGTTCCCTCGTTAGAGCTACTGTTGTGCACTATAAATTAGCAAGATCCTTACCCAAGTAGAGATGTTAACCGATGCATTATTCAACGTCGGTAGTGATTGAAAGTTTTCGATGCTTTTATTAAAACTTTTCTTAGTTTCGCGTGAAATGCTGAATTGAAAACAAGTTAACTTCATGATAAGAGACTAGATCAATATATTCTTGAAAACTGATCCTGAATATCGAAAATTTTTTAAAATCTAGTATCTATTTTTATGTTCCGGAGATGGCACCGCTGGTTATCTGCTGCTGTCGGAATAGTTTTCGAGAAATCCTTCGAAAATCTCTTCCGTCACTGTTCTAAATTAGTACAGTTAGATTGAATCCATCAGATTCATCATGGTTCTGACTGTTAGACTTGTAGACACCCAAATCGGAGTGTGAATTCATGCAATTTTACAATCTCCTTAAAAAGGAAGCTGTCGCTCACACCATCGTGGTGGTGGCAGTTCAGTCAATTGCATTACACCTCTTAATGTAAGTATTTTGCTGTATAATTATTGACGATCTCTTTAATATAGTTTCTTTGACGACAAGTTAAAATGTCGAGCAGTGAAAGCGAATGAATCATTTTGGATAATATAGTTTAAGGAACTGACAAGAGAGACTTTGTGTAGAATAACTAGTGTAATTGTTTTCTAATTCGTAATGTAAATTTAGGTACAAGGAAGTATATAAAAATAATAATCTTTACTTGCAGATAGTCGCTTTTTGACGCGAGAACACTTTTCCAAATGTCGAATCACTTTTTACTTTAAATTATGACGATTGGATCAATCGTCATGATCAGTCAAAAATGTCTGTTTTGATTTGGTTTTTCGTTCTTCACTTATCGATTTATATTTGTTTTATTCAATGTAAGTACATCATGAGCTGAAATTTCGTCCATAGATAGGCCTTGTAGTCACTAGAAACTCATCAAAGTTTGAATCGAAAAAAATTCATTCGTGCAAATGGTATTTATATTTTAAAGAAAGGTCTGTTTTCGATTTTGTTATAAAAGAATGATATTTTGAAAAGGATATGTTTATCCTGGTTCAAGCTTTGAAGTATTATCAGTGACCTTAACGTGTATCTATGGGCAAAACTTTAGCCGAAAATTTGATCATCCAGATTGTCAGTGATCTTATGATCATCGAATAAAAATCAAGGGAAACCCACCTAATTGGACAAGTGAAGATCGAAAAATTAAACTAAAACAAAATTTTTTCACTACTCAGCATGGTTGATCAGATAGTAATAGCTTCGAGAGAAAAGCAATATGACAGTTGGAAAAGTTTAATCGTTGGACATTCCAGTTTGAAGATTATTTTCCATTTATTCTATTTACGACTATATAAGTCAAACATGTGTGGGATGATTATTAATTACCATTAAGCATCTCGCTCTCTTTATAGAAGTGTGAACACGTTAATAATTCTTTTTGATATATAAACTTGATAACGTATACTGTTTTATTGGTCAATTCTCTCATTTGTATTTTTATTTATAAAAAAGCATTCTCTGTATACGATTGCAAAAGGTCTGACAAGAAATTGCAAGAATTTATCTTATTGATTTTGTTCATCTATATTTTACGGAATCTAGTGCCATCTTTATTTCAACATATATTCTCTACGATTTCCATGGCAAATGCAACAATTTATGGTTGTTCTGTCAGCTAATTTACATTATATTGTACTTGTTTACTTTAGACTTAAGTTTATTTTATTGATATTCTAATGATATATATTAGATGATTCGACAGTCGCTTGTTGATGAGCGCGTATCAGCTCTTCACCGTCATACACTTCAGTCACCTGGCGATAGTGATGGTGATATGTCGAAACCAACTTCGCGTCGTCTACCTGCTCCTGTTGCAACACGTATTATCATTCGAAAGAATTCATCATTATTATCAAAAGGTGATGAAGCAAGAATAACTACACCGTCAACAACACCGTCACCAACACCTATTGTTGATCCACGTTCACGTGTTGAATTACTTGAACGAAATCTTCGTTATGTTCAACAACAACATGAAATGACTCTAAATGATTTACATAGTGAGATAAGTCGACTTCAAGAAGAAAATCGAGGTAAAATATAAATAAAATATAAAAGAAAAAAAAGAATAGTGAAAAATCTTATTTTAGATCTCCATTTTCGTATGGTTGATATTCGTCCGTCATCTTCATCTGGAAATAAACAACGTAAAACTGAAATAGTACCAAATTTTCAACAATTAGCTGTTCTTACACAAAATGAACCAATTCTTGGTATGAGTTTAAAACAAAACACTTTTTTTTCTTTTTCATTTTTTTTAATAATTTTCTCAATCGAGAATTTCAAAATTAATTATTTTCAATTATAGAATCAATCATAACAGAGTCTGGTGGTATGATAAATAGGATTCATTTGCAATTGTATTTGGAATAAAATATTTTGTTTTTCACTATGTTTTTGCACTAGATTGAATTTTTTTTTGATATTTTGAAGTTAAGCTTTTAAGTGATTTAAATATAATTTATTTATTTTAATCAGAAAAGCGTCTACAAGAAGTGCAACGTCTTCATTTTGAACAACAAATTAATGAACTTCAAACACGATTAATTGAAACTGAACAAAAAAATGAATATTTAATGCGTACTATTGATGAATTAAATAAAACATCATCTGTTCAAACATCACAGGCATCATCTTCATCTGTTGTACCAGTTCTATTACCAGATCCGAAGTAATTCAAGCAAAATATATAAATAAAAATTTTTACATGAAAAATAATTGTTCTTTTTATTTAAGTATATCATCTGATGTCAATATAACAACTTCTGCTGATAATAATAATGATAATAAATTCAACAAATCAGAAAAGTCACAAACGAATGATGCTGATTATCAACATCTACTTCAAGTTTCACATGAAAGACAACGACAACAAGCACTTGAAGTAATTTATTAATCATTTTTTTTTTAGTATAAGTTTTCTTTTTTGAAACACGAACTAAAAGAATTGAAGAAGGGACGACGTAGTAGCAGGTCGTTTATTGTAGTAGAAGCCGAGCCGCAGTGGGTTTTGATTGTCTGCTCTCTGGTTGCTGCTTCCAGTACTCCAAGGACTGTCACAGACTTTGATACATGAATGCAGATTGTATGTCAATAAACTGTCGCCCTAATTTATAAATTACTTCGTAATTGTGTTTCTGGAGGATTAAGTAAAATGCTAATGAAGAAATGTGTCTCAAAATAAATAGAATAAAATAATCTTCATTTGATTAACAACAACAGCTACATTGTATTTTAAATTTTAATCTTGGAAGGATTGTGCTGATAGTGTTTTTTTATTGTTTTCCAAAAACAATACACTTTTTTTTAAATATAATACAAGCTAAAAGTAAATAACTTTTTTAGATCGCAAGATTACGAGCTGTATTACGTGAAATACTTCATGCTGAACGATTAAGTTCAACATCGAAAATACTTGTTCGTGATTGTTTAGCATCAACAAGTATAAGTGAAAATTCAATCTCAACAACACCAATCGACACATTATATAATATTGGAAATCAACAGCAACAACAACAACGATCTATTGCTTCATCATCAACTGTTGGAAAAAGTTTATCACTTCGACAGTACGTATTTTTCTTTTCTATTTCCTTTCATTTATAATAATAAAATGACCAGAATTAATATACATAAACAGTGAATTGCCTCTACGTCGTCTTAATCTTTCGCCGCCTCAGTTCATCGTACCGAGGTATCACATAGATCATCGTTGATATTTTACTTTATTTCGTTGCTCTACACATATACACTTGCTTGCTTTAATTATTTTTTTAATAGTTTATTATTCACCATAAATAAAATAAAACTTCTTGTGTAGATCAAGCGGTCAAAATCGTCTACCAGAACAACGTTTGATTTTACCACCAATACAAGGTAGTAGTTTATCATTATCACAAGGTAAAATTAAGTTATTCTATTGAATTTGAATAAGGATTTTTGTTTTTTTTTAAATATATTTGTACAAATAGACCCAAGTGGTGCGAATGGTATATTACATAGTTCATTGAGTCAAACAAATGCTGGATCACAGCAACAATTATTGAAATTTGGTGAAACACCAATAGCAAGACGAGAACGACGTACTCAGGAACTACAAAGAACAAGATTAACAAGAAACCTTTATCATTGACATGTTTACAGATCATGTCTCTCTCTATATGTTTGCTTTTTTTGTTCCTCTATAAATATTTTTTCTGGTGATATTGAAAAATATACAAAAAAAAAAACAATAATATAATAACTTTTTAATACTAATATTTATTGCATTATTTTAATGTTAAATGTCATATGGTTGGTAATTAGTAAATATGGGTTAATCCTAATGTATTTGTTTTTTTGTCGTAATTATTGTACACTAACAAAAATATTTTTATGATTGACAGCATTTCAATTTAAGAGAGTAAACATAACATTAATGATAGAATTTTTTCTAAATTATTATCTTGCTAAATATGGTATAGACGATGAATACATTTTATTCATTTTTAATATTTCAATCAACTAATGTTATTTATTGACCGTTTTAGTCAAGGTATGTTAAAGTAGAATATATTCGTTCAATTACTTTGTTTTATTAATGTAATGAGGAAATTCGATCCTTTGTATATATGTGAATTAATAATAAAGTTACATAATTTTGTATCTATGATGGCCGTAATATTAAATTCTTGAATTTTACTCAATTCCATTATTTGAAAGCTACTTATGTGTTTTATACTGACTTATTCCAGACTTTATTTGCTGATCTTTTATCGTATGACAAAGACTCACAGAACTATTTCGGCTATTATAACATGTATTTTGTCTGTCGATTAATATTCAAGACCGTTCTCTTCATCCTGCAAAATCAATATTGGATAAAATATATTCAAATCGCATGAAATTTTCAATCTATGTTAGTGCTGTAGTGAAGAAGTTATGCTAAAAATTTCAGTCTATATGATGATGTTTTCGGAAGAATTTCATCAAATAAGATCCAAAAATAGTTCATTTGGTAATGTAAAGTTTTCTGTGGGTATTCATTCTGTATACTTAATTTTTTTATTTCATAGTGCATGTCAGATTGTAGTGCGTAGCAGAGCTCATTTTTTTTTAACGTCTAACTTTTTATGCGGAGAACGAGAATGTCAAGTGCAATGCCTCGAAAAGCTCTTCAGAAAATAGTCATCTATTTAAAGTAATGCATTTTTATATATTAAGGAAAAAGTTAAATTTAAAAAGCGTGCTCTGACAACTACCGCAGCTTCGCATGCTCTTTCAAAGAAATAGAAAAACAATTGGCTATGATGAAGTTTGTTCGAGAATTCTGGGATGCGTGATCAGAAAAAAAGCATATTTAAGTTATTGAAATCATTGACAATTTTTGCAAAAGAAAACGACATGTCAAATATCGAAAAAATCAATTGTTTGTGAAAGATCCGATCTCACACGATCCTTCCATGAATTTATCTTAATTATAATAATTCTGATAGAAATGAACTTTGTTTTGAAAGTGAGGAGGCGTATGTTTCATACAAAATTATGAAACTTATTTGTAGAAATACAAGAGTCACATGATTAGTTTTAATTTATTAAATAATGATAATTTTATTCAATGAATAATAAGAGAAAAAGGACAAAACATTCACACGAGAATAAACTGATATTGTGAAACAGAAAAGACAAACATATAATCAATGTATATAGTCAGTTAAATATATGTTTCTTTTTGTTTAATTGTTGCTAAAAGTGCAGCTGATTCAATAATTAATTCTTTAGGAACATCATTAATATGTGTGGCATCATTATTTATTCGCACACGTATTTGTTGTTGTATATTTGAATAAGTTTGTTTTAATTCAGATAATGTTTTATGCGCATGTTCATTTAATTTTGTTTCATATACAGCAGGATAATCTTTTGTTAATTGATTACAATTAACACCTGTACAACGACGTTCTAATTCTTGATAAATAGCAAATAATTGTGCATTTTTATTTGATAATTTTGCATCGTTGTATAATGTTAATAAATGTGTTATATCTGTATTTGTTAATGTATTACCATTAGTTATATCGTCATCAGTTATTATATTTGGTAATGGTGCTATATTTATCATAGCATAATCATCTTTACTTGCTGTTGTTGTTGTTGGTGTAACAAACGCAAATGTTGATTCAAAAACATTTGATGATGGTGGAGAAACAAATGTAAATGGTGAATCAGTTACGGATCGATCAGATCGTATTGTTGTTGACATTGGCATCATAGTAGTGGACGATGATGGTGATGATGATGATGGAACAAAAGATGGAGGCGGAGGTGGCGGTGGTTTTTGAAACTGAAATTGTGAAGAAATACTATTGCCATCTCCACTGCCAGTATGATATCCTATAGACAGATATAAAATTGACTATCTGGTTCAAAAAAAGATGTAATATAATCATATTAGTGTCCTACAGCCGAATTGAAAGTCCAGCATATGGCTTCGCCCGGAGCAGGTGTCCAGATACAAACTCGTCAAATCAGTTTGGGCCCCAGGTATAATTTTATATCGGATTTCAAGCTGGAAATTAATGAGATTTTAAATGTTTCGGAATGCTTTTACTTTTTAAAACTGCTAATTTATATAAAAAAATCAGCGTGAAAACTGATTCAATCATGATTGACCAATTTATTCTACTTCCGATAAAGTCACAGAAGTGGAAGGTAATATTACTCTAATAAAATAATTCATTTTTAATGAAGGTTCATTTACAGATGATTAGAAATCATATGGCGAAGTAACTGAATACATGAAGAGAAAAATGAATTATTAAAAACATCAACATGTGCTATTGTCATGGAAAAAACATTCATGTGTGTCCACATTTATGACATTTGGCATCAACACATTATGTTCTATTCCAGCGTCATCAGCAACAAGCAAACGTATACTTATTGAAATTGATTGGATTTTAGAAGCCGAAAGACAGCAAGTGAATCTCCTGAATCGCTTGCTTTTTTGTAGAACTTGAGATGATTTCTTTTTTTTTCTGTTGCTGTTTATGTAAGAAACTATTAAATAGTATACTTTTTCATATTAAATAAATGTTTGAGAACTGTACTATGACTATAAAAGTATCTCCAGGATGTCGATTAGCTCTGGTACGGGTCCGGTTGTGCGAAGTTGTATCCTTTCAAAACACTAAATCATACCTGTAAAACCTGCAAATGATAGAGAAGACTGTTGTTGTTGTGGTGATTGTTGTTGTTGTTGTTGTTGTTGCTGTTGTTGGTGCTGTTGCTGTTGTTGTGTCGAAGATGTTAGTAAAGAAAAGATTGGTGTTTGTAAAGAAGCTGGTTGAATATTAACATTATTCATATTTGTTGGTTGGATAGGTTTAAAAAAGGTATTAGGTGATGTTGGTGTTGTTATTGTTGCTCCACCTGGATGATGACTAGCAGGTGGTGAAAAATATCCCATAGATGTTTGAGACGTTGGTGTTGACATTTTCATCATCATTGAAGATGCTATATGATCTGGTGGTCGTTCAAATGCAGATTCATTANATAATATTTTTAATTGCATTAAGTACTTCAAAATTTCATTCATATAGATTGAATATTTGATGAGTTATCAGAGAAATAAGAAAAAGATCTTAATTAAGAAGATTCGTTGAATAAAAGACTTTTTTGTCTTGAATATGAGCTTATGGGATTATCTAGAAATCTTCTTACGCATAAATAAGCCATAAAAGGAAAAGATTGCAAAAAATGTGAAGAGCTTTTTTTAATTACTAACAAGTATATGTCATGAGAAAGAAACATTTTCGTGTTCATTTTCTAATCCGGAAATTAAAAATGCATCGTTTCAGAAATTTTAAGTCCTTATTGTATAGAACAAGCATATTTTCATCTATGATTGATGCTTCCTAGCACTTCTTCGATCTTTTTTTCTTTCATATTAAATCATTCAACTCTTGGAAGCTTTATCATCATAATCTCCCTCTTTATAGAAATGGGCTTTATTTATTTATATCTTTCATTCTCATTGTCCACCGACTTGTATGAACAATGCATTTAGGTAGATAGCTTAGAAAGCGGAAATTGTGTTCTAAAAGTCAAATGTTGACAAATGTTCCATTATAAAGACTATCGAAAAGTCTGCATAGAATTATTGTCTTTTCTAATAGATAACCACTCAAGATCAATTTACATTCTTATGGCTCTATAATTTATGCGTAAGAAGATTTCTAGATAATCCCATAAGCTCATATTCAAGACAAAAAAGTCTTTTATTCAACGAATCTTCTTAATTAAGATCTTTTTCTTATTTCTCTGATAACTCATCAAATATTCAATCTATATGAATGAAATTTTGAAGTACTTAATGCAATTAAAAATATTATTTATACAGATGAGTAGTTCATCAGTATCAAAAGTGGCAATCAAACATGAAGTACTATTTGTTTTTGAAGTACTTTTTACATGAAGCAATCACTTTTTCCTCTCTATCTCTTATTGATGCATCGACAATCAAATAGAACAGAAAAGCTATAAAATCATCATAGGAAAAAAAGACAAATAAAACATACATTTAATCTCCGAACGAAAATAATCATTAGCAGTCGAAAGAAATTGTTGAGCAATTTTTTCCGATGAATCATCTTGTTGTTGTGAATTAGATGGAGTTGATGTTGCCATGATATATCTATAAGATATTTAAATATTTCTTATCATTCTGATTTATTTTTGTTTTTTTTTGTATTAATCACAATAAATAAGAGAAATACAGTTCAAACAAGAAGGGTATTTAAAAGAAGGCGATCTATGCATTACAAGTGCGAAAAAAAAAATAAATAAATGACAATAGGGACGAAAAACGACAACATATATCTGAATATATTTCGAAATTGAATTTGCACGACAAACAGGCTCTTTTTCTTTTAATCAGTAGTATTATTCGCTGTCGATGTAGGTGTTGGTAGAACTTTTTTATTTGTCCGTTCGAACATTTCACGTTCATATTCTCGAACTTGATCCATAGTCATACCATACCTTACCAAACAAAAAAACTAAGATATTATCAAATTAGTTTACCAAAATTAAATTATTACCATTCATCCATCCATGTGAATGCTTGTCGATGTGCAAGTATTAGAATATCACGTACAGCCTAGAGGAATATAGAATTATTTATTTCTAGAAAATGAGAGTAAATGACTTACACGTTGAGTAAAATCTTCAACACGTGTTTGAAATCCCCAAACTTCAAAACGTACTCGAATAATTTTATATGCACACATAATGGGTTTTATATATTCCTGAAAATAAAAATTTATTTTATTATTTTAAATATATAAAAATATCGAAAATTTTTATGATAAGAACATACTCTCCAATTAGGCATTAATGGGCCACGTCCTGTTTTTTCTGATTTGAATTTACATGGATCTTCACTTTCCTTATATTTATAAGTTGGTACTGGCTCGATTGCAATGTCCAGATATTCTAATTTTCTAACAGCTAATTCATCAGGTGATAGTTGATGACACTTGAAAAATAATATTCAATAAGATTGAAGAAAATACAAAAAAGACAAACTAAATACATTTTCTGTAGTTCCGTTATTATCTTCATATCGAGTTTCAACAATAATTGAAAAGCGTGGTAAAAATGAACACTAAATTAAAAAAATGATCCCATATTTTCTTACTTGAAACAAAATTTCAAGAAAAAAAATTGAACAATAAAAAATATATATAAAAAACACAGCAGCACAACAATGAAAAAAGCAAACGTTTCGTCTAAAATTCTTGTTTCATTTTTATGAAAGCAATTGCGCAATAATAGGATATTAGTTTGTTTCTTATGTTCAAACACGACATTGAAAAAAAAAAGCGAGGCATTAACATTAAACAACCACTTACGGTATACTCTACAGAAAAGAAATAATTAGAGCAATCCCTTATTCATTTATATATTCACCAAAATTAAATCATATATAAAGCATACCAGTTATTGTATACGGATAAAAATTGCTTGCTTTTTCAGTTATATAAAATACGTTTGGAATAAGGGAACGCATCCATGTTGGTAAGCGACTATAGAGTCAAATCAACAGATAGAATAAATAAATAAAAAATACACTATAGATTTAAGTAAAATGAACCTTGATAGGTATATTCGTTTTTCTGTTAATTGACCAACTACACCATCTTCATTAGTGACTGGTTCATTCCGTACAACTTCTACACCATCATCTTTACTTGATTCTACTTCACAATGTTTACATATCATATAAAGTTGTCCAATATGATACTAAAAAAAAAATAAAATATTTAATTATATAATAAAAACTTCTTGAATTTTACTTCTTCAACTGTAAATGGTAGACATATTCGATACTCATGTAATAACATTTTGCATATGGCAAGTGATCTGACAATCTGAGAAGAATTTTTCCGTTCTTTTTTCCTTGAAAAAAAAAAAAAACACGAGAATGTCTCTGATTGAGTCATCTTAATCTAGACGATTCACCAATCAATGATGAGAACGACATTTTCCATTTACTGACCTCTTTTGTTTCTTCCTTACAAATAATAAAGATTTTTTCTTTTATTAAATGTCAAAAACATCATAAAATCAATAATGATAAAAAATATCAAATAAATCATTACTAAGAGGAAAAAAAAGTTTAAACAATTCTTCTGATTTTATTTTTATTAACAATTATTTATCATAAACTCTCTAAAAAAACTATTTCGTTTTGCCGATCATTCTATTATTAATCATATTATATTTCCCATAGAGATAATCTCATGCATGTCATATTATCATGTTAATTGCATGAGACACATTTGACATTAGCGAAGCATTTTCTTTTTGTTTTCTTTATAAAAACATTTCCGAATAAAACTGACGAGATACGTGTCCATGTATGAAACTTGTTCGTTTAAATTTTCTTCATATGTAAGCTGTTTTCTGATGATTACAGTTACTAAATATATATCATCAGATAATGAATCTGTGTGTTGTTACTTAAATTAGCTCATAAATAATATACATCGGACATAACAAAACTATTTCATCAATCGAAAGCTTGGAGCACATACTGATATTTATATACATTTATGACGACAGTTCAAAATAATTAGATGGGTGAAAACAAATTGCTAGAAATAATCGCTTCCTGTAGACCTCATCCGATAATTCACACTTCCTATTATAGTGATGTTTGTACTATACTTCGCATTTGAATATTTCTGTTTTATATCCAAGAGATTTTTTGAAAATTTCTAAAAGCTATCCTTCAAGTCATGATCAGAGAAAAAGAGACCGTAAACAATTCCTTTTTCTATCAGATTGTAGCTTTTATTTCATGAAGAAATCATTTCAGTGAAACTATTCTTTAACTTTCATACACAATCATAATTGTTTGAGTCATTGAAACGGTCACGACATTTGACTCAATCAAATCTTAGATAATCAGTGATTTCCTAAGAGATGAATGGACTCCATTTCTTTTAGAATCTCTGCATTCGACTTATCTATCTAGCAAAACCTATTCATAAAGAAAATCGACAAAATTACAATAAAATCTATGAATGACTAAACACGCAACATCATATTAATTAATAATGAAGTCTTCTCCATTATTTTCGTATATTGGATTTTTAGAATACATCTGTCTTTCATAGTTAAAAATTAAAAACAATTAATTTCTCTTTTCTTATCAAATAAAAACATACTTAACAGTGAACTCAATGTTTTCTTTGACAACCTTCTTTCTTTCAAAAAACTCGGGTACTTAATCTCATGTACAATTTACATGGCGACAACATCTTGAAAAAATGCACTATTCAATTTTACTTTTCAATACATTGTTTCTCTCTTTTAAAAGCCCTTTTACCTATTCATATGTGAAGAAGAATAAAAAGAGTGACCTACAGTTAACCTATTTAAAAAAGAAAACCAAGTAAATAGTTACCTGCAGATATCAAGTATATGGATAATAGAGGTTATCAACCTAGAAGTTATGGTTTTACAAGAGAAATAAAAAGATATCATACACGACGAATTCAACCAATTAATGATGAAGATAATGTTAATTCAACGAATATAGATGAACGATACTCTCCTTCAAGTATAGTTGAATCATATTCACCAACAAATAATGTGAGTCAATTTATACAAGAAGGAAAAAGAAATAATGAAAAACAATTTCGATTTTCAAAAAACAAAAATTAAATATTTTCATATATTAGTCGAACTACTAGTAGATACAAATTATTCAAATTGTTATTATATTTGTTTTATTCTAGCGACCACAATCAAATGATTCATTACTTGAAATCAATCAAGATTTCCCACAACAAAAGAAAGTTTCATATAAGGACGATACGTAAGATGTTCGAGTTTTGTTTTTGTTTGAATTGTTCTTCTTTTTTTTTTCTAATCTTAGACCTATTTTATCAACTACATCGATAACAGGCTTGTTTATTGCTGGTGGAATTCTATTAGGTATTTCTATTTTAATTGTGATACCAACTATACTTGGAATTATTCTTACACGAAATCCTGCAGGTATAAAACTATGAACAATATTTTTCTTCTAGAACAAAAGACAACTACTTGATAATTTTATCTTGGATTATTCTACTATAAATTACTTGTACAATCTCTATTTTATCGGTTTTTATTTGAAAAAATTCTCTATAGTTTCTTAAGTAGAAGACATATTAACATAAGAGTAAATGTTAATTTATAATAGACTTTTTCTTTAGTAACAGATGCAACTACAACATCTACTATTGCTCCTACAATTATTACTGCTTATTGGAGTTTTGATAATGTTGCTAGTGATTTATATGGAACTTATAATGGTACTCTTGTAAATGGTGCAACATTTTCAAATACAACTTATTTTGATTATGGTTATAATTTAGCATTAAATGATTCATTTAATCAATCTGTTACTATTACATATCCATTTTTCAATTTATCTTATACAAGTTTTACTTTTGAAGCATGGATTTATGGTTACACACTTACAGGTGATCAACCTTTATTTTCTCAATGTCAATGTAATTCATGTCAAGATCAATGTCTTTATTTAATTATTCGAAATCATAAAATGTATATGAGTTTTCTATTAGATGATGTTATTGGTTCAACGTCATTATCAATTAATACATGGTATCATGTTGCATTTGTTTATGATTATTCAAGTGGAACACAATCAATTTATTTACAAGGTATTCTTGATGGTACAAAAACATCAGCTGGTCCTTATCAAGGTCAAAATGGATCAATATTTATAGGATCATCAGTTTTATCCTCTAATTCATTTTATGGTTATATTGATAATATGAAATTAACAACAAGAACGAAATCAGCTAGTGAAATTCTTACTGATGCTTCATTAGTTGTTTATTTTTCATTTGATGGTTCAACATTAACACAAGATATGGGACCAAATCAATTGAATGGTACAATATCAAATGCAGCGGCAGTTAGTGGAAAAGTTGGTCAAGGTTTAGCTTTTAGTGGATCAACATCATCTTATTTTCAGGCATCTGGATTTTATCAATTAGGTCAGTCTAATAAACCATTTTCATTTTCCATATGGATATATCCATACTCAATTGCTGGTGGTGTATTAATTCAGAAGGCGACAACGCAAACTGGATGTTCTAGTTGGTGTTATTCTCTGATGGGTCTCTCTTCTTTCGGTCAAGTTGTAATGTTTCTCTACACAACGGGTGCACCGTCAATCGTTGGTCCTATATTAACAGTTCGTACGTGGACTCATCTTGGTTATACATATAGTACAACAAATGGTCTTCGAATGTATGTCAATGGTCAACTATTTGGTACTACTGGACCAGCATCATGGTCGTCATCGTCGCGGATTGATTGGCTCAATATTGGCTGTTACGTATCCACTTTTTGGGGATCAAATGTAATAAGTGGTGTTCCTTATTTAGGTGCCATTGATGAATTTTATGTCTATCGACGAGAACTGAGTGCAAGTGAAATACTTGCTTTAGCCAATCCATAAAATGTCATGATTTAATTTTTTATTATAATAAATATTTCACATAATTTTACAAAAGTCATCAACTAACTCTAAAAACATCTCTCAGTTTTATATATACAGCTTGTGGTTGTCTAGTAGTCACAATCTTGATTGGTCTACTCATACTTTTCTAAACAAAATGATATAATGGTAACTATTGTTGTTTTATGTCTGCATATTTTACTCGAACAACATAAGCTTTTCCTGTGTATTTTTTTTTTCTTTCAAAAGTTTAATTGCACTATTCATTTCAGTATTGTTGTTATTGACATTGAGATAAGTGTCATGCATAATGCTTTCATATAAGCATAGAATGTCTGGAAAAATGTATTTACTCTTTAACTAACAAAACATACGTAATATTTACTTCAGCATGTCATACGTGAGAACATTTTCATTTTCAGGAATAAAATAAAGCTAAAATGTCGTATGTTTTACTTATCTTTCTTTTCATATTTTATTAAAAATAATGAGTCAATGAATAATATTCAACCTAGGTAAATATATTTCAATAGGTAATATATGTTCTATCTGTGTTGTCATTTGATAAGGAACTCTAAGTGATCGAAGAAAAGTACGACGTACATCAGTTGTTAAAAGAAGTGTATAAGTCATGACACTTGCATGTGAAAATGTAACAAATATCATGCCTAGTTTTTGTGCGTAATATGGTACTAATTTATGATTAATATGAGTCAGAAAAAAAATAACTCGTAATGGAATGCCGGTTATACTAAGAATAATAAGCATATAAATAATATGACGAAACATATGAATTGGTTGTTGTCGACGAAAACGTTCAATTATACTTTGATGATGAAGATAAATAATAATTTTTATATAAATATAAATGATGAATATTAATGGAAGAAAATAATCAATTAAATACATGAAAGGAAAAGCAAAAAGATTTTTAAGAGTTATTTGACAAAAATGTCCACCAGGATTATAAACAATTTGTTTGAATAAAAGAAAAAGTATAATAGATCCTATTGATATAACCCATTGAATTATAATAAGACAAATATAAAATGAATATGAACGTGATGAACGATGTTTTGTATGAACTATACAACAAAGACGATAGAATGCTTGAATGCTATTTTCATAAAATAAAAAAATTAATATATATTAATAAATAGACAAAAGCTTTTTCTTTTTGTATCCAATTCTTTTAAGAAAAAAATTCAAAAATATGATTTCTTATAACCTCAAAAAAACATATCTTCTTGAAAAAAAGAAACATAATTTATTTACCATAATGAATGATAGAGAGCACCAAGAGTCGCAGAACGAAAACCACCTCTCAGAACACAAAAGGAATCTGGTTGTCGTTGATTTTCATTGATGATATTAATATCGGCATGATACATAATACTAGCATCAATAAAATTGAATAAGTTAAGCAAGAAACCAGCTATACATGAATTTGCTGAAAGTAAATTAGCTAATGAACGAACTTTTGATGTTCTTTGTTCATGAATACGGCATAGAATAGTTATATAAATAAATGCAGCTAACATTCCAATAAAACTGAAGATCAATAAAAGAGAATCGTTTATTAAAGTATAATACATATTGTTACAGAGAATTTTTTGTTAGTTTAACATTTGAATAAATAGATTTCCCTGTTTGATGTTATGCTTATATAGAGAAAGAAGAGAAGAAAACAAAAACGTTCCATTTCTAATCTGCATGCATAAACCTATCTTATATAGTCGCACGCGATATTCTGCAAAAGTGACAAACAATTGAAAGCTTTTTTGATGAATTTTGAGACGACTTCTTTTCTTTACACACCGATGTATTTCTTTTATAATTTGTCAACTAAGTATATCTTAAAATTCCATAGAGACAAGAACTGCGTCATAGTAATGATTCTTTCTAACTGAACTTAATCTATGAAATATTTTTGAATTCTTCGTTCAAAATTCAAGCATTGAATTGTTTTTCGTTCGAAGGTGATGTGGTCATATCTGTAGTGTTATTAGTATTTGAAGCTGCTAGCGTTGAAGAGATAACCTAATTGAAAGAGAAAGTATACATCGGTACTTAATTGTTTAAGCTCTATCATTGCATATATAAATGAATCAAAAATAAAAATCCACTATAATTCTTTGCGTCATATATATCTTGTAAAATATCAGTTGTCTATGTTGCATAACTGGATGATACAAAATAATGAGTGAAATTTAATCAACACTGTGAATGACTGATGGCTTGCAAATACAAAATCTGTATCAAAAAGAGACACAATAACGTCATCCGTACTAATCATTATTTTACGCTGTCACTGATCTAAAAGCTCGTTCGCCACTAAATCAATTCTATCTTTGAAAACGAACTCAAAAATTGCTTGCTTTTTTGACCTACATAAAATACATTTGAAATAAAGGAACGCATCAATGTTGATAGACGACCATCGAATAAATCGAAACATAAATAGAACAAAAAAACTATAGATTCAAGCAACAAGAACAAGGTTGCCAGATGGAAAAATTATCTATCGCAATTTTGAAAAGAAAGATTGGAATTTTTTTAAGCTATTTTCGAAAAAAAAATCGGAAAGTAATTATTTAACATTTAAAAGAATATAGTGCCTCTTATTGAAATATTTTGCTATATCAGCATATAGTTTCTAAACTGTTAGTGACATCGTTTTTCTTCTTTTTCAATCTCACTTAAATTCGTTTTCAAGTTCGCAAATTCGTGACGGAATTTAATTCGATTTAACATATTAGAATTATCATGCGCAAAAGTTCCTTCTTACACTTAAAACTAAGTTTATATTGGTGAAATCGTTGATTAAAATGACTTTCTTTTAATCATGCAGTCTATTCAGTTCCATTCGAAAAGGGTTTCGATTCAAGCTAGTATGTACTGCCAGTAGTGTCAAAGTTCTGTACTATACATTGATTACAATACATTAATGAATGTGTATTAACCACTGAAAAGAGTTATTTTCAAAATTACAAGAGTATGTGTGCGTGATACCCGTGCCCTCATCTGAGTGAAAAAATCCATTAGCTATTATACGGAATTTCAATTATTTCAATTATTTATACTGCCATGACTTTTGGCTTAAGCAAAGCTTAGATCATTAGTAATTTTATAAGAGATATATGGAATTTCATTTACTTAACGACTGTCCTCAGGCTTCATTATGTAGCAAATACTATTCATAAAGAATGCCTTGAAAGTCATAATAAAATCTATGAATGACTAAACACGCAACATCATATTAATTAATAATGAAGTCTTCTCCATTATTTTCGTATATTGGATTTTTAGAATACATCTGTCTTTCATAGTTAAAAATTAAAAACAATTAATTTCTCTTTTCTTATCAAATAAAAACATACTTAACAGTGAACTCAATGTTTTCTTTGACAACCTTCNAACTATAAAATAAGCCGTCCTATGTAAATTGTAGAGTTTTTCATGCTGCATCCTATGGTGTATTTTGTTTTTTATTACAACGTATTAAGTGATTCAAAATTGAAATACAACATGTAACCATATAATCTGTCTTATCTGAAAGTTAAGCTTTCAACAAAAAAAGTTTCTATCGAAATTTTATTATTATGGTACCAGGTGAATAGGGATGAAATAGTACAGAAAAATAGAGTTTTATTTTCTCTGCCATTTCATATAAAAAGAAAATTTTCTCAAGCCTTCTATACGACAATAATGTATCTCCGCCACTACTTTTGGGTACCCCTAAGTATTTGAGAACTTTATATTGACAAATAAAACTTGGGAGTATCTTTGACCATCAATACCAAACTCAGTTCATCCAATAGAACCATAATGGAAATATACGATATTTCTTTTTGGTCAACGGCTTTGCAAACACTCTATTGAAACCTGATTTTTGCAGTTTTAGAAAAATATTTCATATCAATTTCATTCGAAAAAGATCAATTTCAATCGATTATCTAGATTATTTTCGGGAGGATCTATTTTAATAGATTAAAAAAAAATAATCCGCTTAAATATATTAGCTTATTAATGGATTCTGTAGGAGCAAATCTAATTTAATAAATCAAATATGAAATCGACTACTGACATTTTAAAGGAAAAAAAAATCGATTTTTATTGATAGTTATCAAGTCAGAAAAACTTCGGAAAGAAGGCTCAGCTCCCGTTTGAAAGTTAATAAGCAGGTATTTTCTTCCCATATAATACAGGGATATTAATCGACTTTTACCATAGAGAATTGATCAAAATCATAGATTTTATCAAAAAATGATCTGAATGATAAAAATTTCATTGATTACTCTGAATAATTCCGTTTATTATTTATTTAAAAACTTTGCAAACAATATTGCTTTTAATTGATTTTATTTGACAATAAATGGTATGATCTTTAAAATCAGTCTTGTTTGCTTTGCATTTATCATAATCGATCTTTTATCAAACTTTTATCGATCATAATCGAAATTAAACAGAATAATCGACGAAATTTTTTGTTTTTTTTTTTGTTTTAGATTATAATCGATCCCTAATCATACAATAATTGAAAAAAGTATGTTTTTTAATTGATTTTGAATCAAACTGTAATCGATTTTATATCTGATTTTTCAATCACTTTTCTTTACGTGACTATACTGTAAAAAGGATGTTCTACTGTGAAGTAAAAATAGAAACTTCGTTTCTGACATAGCGTTCTCTATACAATTATCTTTTTACTGGAGGCAAACGTTAGCCATTACAGAACGAACCGAATATTGCGTTATAGTTGTGCAATTACTGTCAAAACTATTAAATCCAATAATAGTATAATAAAAGATGAGAAATATGTGTACATTCGATGGTATATTAAAAGAATATCCATGGATTTCAATCGATTCATTTCTTCAAACAAATTGTCAAATATCACAAGTTTTCTTTATCTCTCATATGTAAATTAGTAATTTTTATTTTTAAAATAAAATTGAAATTTCTGTCCATAGACATACAGATCATCTTCGTGGTTTAGATGGTCTAATATTTGCTCAATATGTGACAAATAATCGATCAATACGTATATATTGTTCCGAAGCATCGAGACATTTTCTTTCAATATTACCTGCATATAAACATCTATCACAATTTTATTCAGTAATTAATGTTGATCAACCATTTACTATACAAAATCCTATGGATAAAAGTATGAAAATTTACAAGAAATTATATTTTATACATTATTTTTCTCGTTTCCTTAGATATTTCAATAACAATCACTTGTTTTGGTTCTGGTCATTGTCCTGGTTCATTAATGTTACTTTTTGAAGGTTGTCATGGTACTGTTTTATATACCGGTGATTTTCGTCTTTATTCTCATCAATCAAATCGTCATCGTATTATTTCATCAAAAAAACTTATTGATACACTCTATATTGACATGACTTTTTTCGAACCATCTATTCGACAATTACCTGAACGTGAACAAGCATGTCGAAAACTTATTAATTTTATTGAACAATATGAGAATAGATATTTTTATCTTAAAACATCTGCTCGTGTAGGTTATGAATATATTTATCTATCATTGTATCAACATTTTGGAATTTTAATTCATGTAAATTCCGAACAATATTATTTGTATAATTGTTTACCACAAGTTCAACAAGTACTAACAACAGATGCAAACAGAACAAGATTACATGCTTGTTGGCCTAAATGTTCACATGCTCAATCATCAATTACGGTGATTATTTGAGAAAAAAAAAACTTTTTTAACCATTTTTATACTTGGTGAAACACGATTTAAAAGGAGTGTGGAGGTATATATATATATAGTAGAAATTTGCACCTCTTACATAGATCATGACACTCATAATCGATAGACTAGCAGTGTCTGTCCTTAATGGCAGATGGCTTAGTAACACGCTCCCACCATCGCGTCAAAAACTGTGAACATTTCTGAAGGATTAAGTAAAAGACTTGTGAAGAAATGTGTCCCCAAATAGATAGAATAAAACAATCTTCCTTTGATTAGCACTAATAGCTACATCGTGTTTCATATTTTAATATCCCACCGATTGCAGTAACATTTTTTTTTTGACTCAGATTGTTCTTTCTGTTCTTTGGTTCACTTTACAACAACAACAGCAACAGCAATTTAATTCTCCATTAATTCAAATAGCTACGGATTATTATCGTCTTTGTTATTCTCTTCATTCATCATATAATGAGATATGTACATTTGTTAAACAAATATCTCCGACTCGTATTCATCCAATAGCTTTGCCGGATCAAATAACACCAGAACGGTTCAATGAACTTGTTAAAAAACTTGGAATAAATCAATTTCCAACAATTTATTTTTCACCAAGTAACTTTGAACAACAAATAAAACGACGTTATCAAACAATTGAAAATATTAACAGTAATGATAATGATGAACTAGATTTTGATTGTCATCAAAATCGAGAGAATAATGAAAAACAATTATATAAACGAATTAGTAATTTACAACAGCCACTAACAAAGAAATGTAAATAAAAAAAAAGAAAACAAGATGTTTATACTATATTGTTTTTGTTAAATCATATTTTTGTTTTAGTAAAGACTAACTTCCACTCGTTGATAC